TTCCCTAACTGCTGGTTCCCATCTTTTTTTTTTTTTTTTAGGGAGTCTTGTTTTGTTTCGTTTTTGCTATAGGGCGTGTGTGCTCAACAGAGAGACAAAGTGAGAAATCATCCCCCAGGAAGGATGGCCATGCTGCAATCCCTTCTCCTCCATTCTCCTCTTGGGATCACATGTGCCTGATGTGAGTTTTAAGCTGCTGGGTCTGGGACTTGAATCACAGTTGACTATGGGAGGCCAGCAATGTAACCATTATGTCATTTGTTGGTCTCTGTTGCTTGCCATTTTTTAATCTTGTGAACTGACAGATTCCTCAGGTACTAGAAAGCAATACAAGGACCAGCAGGTGGTGTGGTGGTTAAGGTACCAGATCCAACATGGCTGACCATGGTTCGAGTCCTAGACCCAGTAACTTGAAAATCATGCCAGATAGATGTGCATGCATGCCCAAAGTCCCAGGAGGAGAACAAAGAAGGGGTTGTGGCATGGCCATCCACCCCAGGGGGTGATTTCTCACTTTCCCTTTCTGTCTCTCTCTCTCTCTCTCTTTTGGCGAGCACACAGCCTCTATGCTGTAAAACTAAAACAACAACAAAAAAATGTAATACAAGAGCAAAGTCATCTTACCTGTACAGGAACAAGTCCTTGGCCAGCCATTTGGTCCCCACAATTTTAAAGATAATTTCGTAGGTTTCCAAGGCTTTCAAGTGCACACCACTGGGCAGGGCAGGATGCAAACATTGAGCTAATCTCTTGCTGATAATGAGCCGTCTTGGCAACAAGGAATACCTCAGGTTACTCTGAAGGGCCTGTGAAAGGAGGAAAAGCACATGAGGAAGGAGATGGCAATGGAAAGTAAACCTGCTGAGGTCGGGAAGACTGAAGCCAGGCCCAGTGTGGTGGTAAAAAGGGACATACAGGACAAGAGGACACGGGGGAATGCACCTGGATGGTACAGGGAGGCCAAGCACCAGGTTCCAGGACCACAGGTATCCCTAAAGTCCCCAGCAATGCTAGAAATGAGGCAGGAGCCACAGTGACTATCACTACCAGGCCAGGTTTTCTGTCACACCTTGGGACCCGCACAGGTAAGAGTTGTATGGTTCTCTGTCTTGGGAAGTCATCGATCTATATATGCAAAACTAAGCAGAACACAGGCCACATCAGGGGGAGGTGACGCTCATCCCTAAGGGCATCCTTGTACGTGTGCCATAGAAGCCCCTGGACTTTTGCTCAGGGAAAGGATTCAGTCTGAATGACCCCTCACTGTTCCAGTTTAGCTTCACACCCAGTGCTGAGGGCTCACCTAGAAGAGATAGACACTGGTGGGAGGTGGAAAGTGGGGGCAGGCTTCTAGGCATGACTTGTGGCATCTCCACCAGTCAGTGACGGTGCTGGGAGGGACCTATGTGCACAGGAGAAAATGCCATTAACCCCCTGGGATGGGGCGACAGTATTTGAGAGCCGGGCTTCTATAAGCCGAACGTGGGGATTGTCTTGTGTTAAGGCATCTTGGATTCTTACTGTGTCCAAGGAGCACAGTCAAGAATGTAAACAGTTCAGTGCTGTTCAAGACTTCCAGGGACCACTGGCAGAGTGCTGAGGTTGAGAGGTTCCCCATGACTCACCCTTAGAGGGCAGAGAGCCTGTCACTACAATGCAACAATCGACATAGTTAGCTCATTTGCTCACACTGATATTTACTGAAAGCCAACAGAGTAAAGTCCACACTTCTTAGAGGCCAATCAAAGGCCTCCATGGCACGGTTCCTGCCTGCTTTGCTTACCCTCCTTCCTAACACAGCAGCCTGAACCTTTCTTCATAACAACACAGAGCGATCTGAGGTTCCCACCTGCCCTTCACTGTCCCTCTCCTGAATGCAATTCCCATCCTCTTCCATTCCCATCCATCTTTCCACGCTGTGTAGCATAGCACAGTGACCCTTCTCAGGGAGGCAGAATGCCCCCTCCTCCAGGCGGGGCATCCACACCCCATCCATGCAGGCAGTCTGAAGATCACTGCAGGACTTTGCAATGCCAACTACATATCAATCACGTGCCAGGACTGCAAGGGCCATATCACCTTAGGGCCATGACAGCTTTCTAATTATAAACAAATAGTCCCACCTCTAACACACACACTCAACTTACGCAAGAGAAAGAGAGAAAAGAAGAAACATAAGAATATTTGTCATTAGCCTGTGGAGCATATGAACTTGCAGATTTTATAAAACCATATCACTAAAAAAAATTCAGATCTAACTTGAGGTCATCTAGAAATACTTTAAGGGGCCAAGTGGTGGACAGCAATAGCACAACTGGACCCACATGGGTAAGGGTCCCCTCAAATCTCCCTGAGCATGCTCAGGTTGGCTGAGACTGGGGGTGGATTGCGGCATGAAGATTCTGTTGGAGATCCCAGCCTCTCTGTCTGTTTCTCTTGTGGAAAAAATAAACTTAATTTTTTTTATTTTTATGAGAGAGATTTTTGCTATAGGGCATGTGCCTTGTTGGAGAGACAGAGAGAGATGGAGAGACAGAAAGCAAGAAATCACCCCCTGGGGGGATGGCCACACCACAATCCCTTCTCTTTCATTCTTCTCTTGGGATTGTGGGAACACACGCCTGGTGTGAATTTTAAGCCGCTTGGTCTGGAACATGAACTGCAGTCAACTATGTGGAAGTCCAGTGATGTAACCATTATGCAATCTGCTAGTCCCTCCAAAAAAATATTTTAAAAGATTTACAGGGCCAGCTGGTGGCATGGTAGTTAAAGCAGCTGGATCCCACATGGGTGATTGCAAGGTTCAAGTCCTAGACCCAGCAGCTTAAAAATATACACCAGGTGAATGTGTATGCAGGCCCAAAATCCCAAGAGGAAAATAGAGGAGAAGAAATTGTGGTGTGGTCATCCCCTTGAGAGAGGGGAAATGATTTCTCACTGCCCCCTCTGTCTCTCTCTGGTGAGAGCCTACATATCCTATGGCACGTTAAAATAAAAAAATATATCATTTACAGAGTCTAACATCCTAAAATAAAGGAAAGGCCTAAAAAATGATTTATAAAAGTGCTTATGGGGGCCAGCAGGTGGCATAGTGGGTTAAGGTGCGGGACTCCCCATGTGATCAACCGCAGTTCAAGTCCTGGACCTGGTGGCTTGAAAAGCACACTGGACATGTGTACACGACCAAAATCCCAAGAGGAGAGTGGAGGAGAAGGGATTGCGACGTGGCCATCCCCCTGGGGGGTGAATTCTCACTTTCTGTCTCTGTCTCTGCCTCTCTGGCGAGTGCACACACCCTATAGCAAAACTCTAAAAAAAAGATAGTGCTTATGACCCTCTCTCAAAAAAGGGAAAGAACTGAGGAGGCCACTTAAACCACACTCTACAACAAGGGATGAAAATAAACTGATAGTTGCAACTGACGGGAGATGAACATGGGCAACACATGAAACAGCACATTCTGTTACGGACATCTTAGAACACATAGAAAAGCAGGCAGAACAACGAGGTAACCACTGTCCAGCTTAGACAAGTATCAACTTCCAGCCAGCTTTGCCCCTAGATACTTCCTATGACCCTTGTGGCTTAGTATGTGTAAGGGCTTTCTTCATGGGTTCAAGAGCAGGACAGCCAAAACCCTTCACTCCAACAGTTAAGGCAGAGTTTTGTCTTTTCAAGTCACTACCAAATCTAATTTTTACTCAGTATATTCTAGGGAACCGCAGCTATCTGAAGTGTAAAAGGTTCTCAAAGGATCTCCCACGGTGGGCATGTATGATTTGGCCGTGTTTGGTTCCCTCGGTCTGTACACAGAGAAGGAGCTCATTATTCTGCCCTGTGAATCCAAGCACAGCAACATGGCCTACTCTAATGAGTACAATGATGAGTCACTTCTGGCACCAGTTTTAAAAGCCAACTCAAAGTTCATCAGGTTCTCTTCTCTGCCTCTATGATCATGGCAAAATGGACTGAGATGAAGCACCTCCTAGCCTGGGTCTCTGAGAAACTACAGAGAGCAGAAACCACATGCTGATCCTGTAAGTCAGAAATAAACCATGTTGTAAGAGTCACCAATATTCCAGTGTTGTTTGTTACCATAACATAACCTTCCCAATCCTGACTGACACATCTTTTCTCAATATGGCCATAGTAGGGACCAGCAGTTAGCATAATGGCTATGGTGTTGGACTCCCACGTAGTTGACTGCGGTTCGAGTCCTGGACCTGGAGGCTTAAACTCACGCCGGGCACGGGTGTGTGCGTGCCCAAGATCCCAAGAGGAGAAGGGAGCAGAAGGTATTGCAGTGTGGCCATCCCCCCTGGGGGGTGATTTCTCACTTCCTGTCTCTCTGTCTCTGCCTTTCCGGCGAGCGCATGCGCCCTATAGCAAAAACCTCTCAAAAAAAAAAAATGGCCACAGTAAATCACAACTATTCATTTCATATAAATGGGCTGACTGGTATTTTTTTGTCATTTAAATGTTACTGCACAGGCCAGCCCATGATGTGATGGTTAAGGCAGCTGGATCCTACACGGCCAACAGCACGGTTTGAGTCCCAGACCCAGCAGCGTGGGAAACACATTACATGCACCTGCATGTGTGCTCAAAATCCTGACAGGGAGAAACAGAGACTGTACAGTGGCCATTTTCCATGTAAGATGGGGGGGTGAGGGTGCTTTCTCACTTCCCCCTCTCTCTCTGTCTCTGTCACGGGGGTGAAGGTGGTGTAGTGGTATAGTGCCTAAGGCACTGGACTCCCACATGGCCAGCTCTGGTTTGAGTTCCAGACTTGGGGGCTTGCTTTCTCACTATTTTTCCCCTCTTTTTTTTTTTTTTCTCTCTCTCCTCCTTTGTCACCTTCTAGTAAATTTAATAATAATTATTATTATAATAAATAAAATTAAATAATTAAAAAATTTTAATGTAACAAAAGGCACTTAATTCAGGGCCAGCAGTTAGCGTAATGGCTATATTGCTGGACTCCAATGTAGTCGACCACGGTTCGCGTCCTGGACCCAGCAGCTTAAACTCACACTGGGTGTGTGTGCATGTGTGCCCAAGACCCCGAGAGGAAAATGGAGGAGAAGGGATTGCAGTGTGGCCATCCCCCCCCCGGGGGGGGTGATTTCTCGCTTTCTGTCTCTCTCTGTTTTTCTGGCAAGCGCACATGACCTATAGCAAAAACCTCTCCAAAAAAAGAAAAAAAAAAAGACACTTAATGCAAAAAAGACACGGAAACATGACACAGAAATAAGGCTGAATCCAGTACATACTGAAGGCACTTGTTTACTGTATGCTGACCATATCAATCCATGTGAGTAAGGCAGGACTAAAATGGGAAGCTGTTCAGTGCCTGCTGAAGGAAAGGGAAGCCAAAGATGAAGCCATTCTGTTTACCAAAGGAGGGAGCTATAGTTGTCTTTTAAAATACAGCAAAAACAAAGGAGACAGAAGAAAACAAATGGATAGAAGATGCTTATCCTTCCCGACAAGAAAAATGCAAATTAAAACTATAATGAAGGGCTGTCCAATAGCCTGGTTGTTAAGGGAGCCAGATCCCACAAGGCTGATCATTTGGTTCGAATCCTGGCCCTGACACTTGAGAAACATGCTAGACATGTATGTGTGCCCCAAATCCGGACAGAATGGAGAAACAGAAGAGAGGAGACTGGGTCCCCATTGGGCTCTCCCTCGTTCTCTGTCTCTCTGGTGAGTGTATGTGCCCTCTGGCAAAACAAACAAACAAAACAATGAAATGCTATTTTCTTCACCCATCAGCTTGGCAAGTTTGATTGACGCAAACAGA